TAATAGTATTAATGAATTTAACAAATTAAATAGTGAAAATTACCATAATTTAGAAAAAAAAATTTTTGAACAATATTTTTATATATATTTTTATATAATTTGAAGTATTATTTAAATAATTGATTATTTTTATTTATGTAAAATTTATGATATTAATAAATTTATTCATTTAATGACATGTAAAAATTCTATCAAAAAATAATATAAAAAATTATCCCTATAAAACCCTCCAAACTATAAACATGAATGTCATTGTTAGATTTATGGAGTGGAATCCATTTGGAAAAATGTTACCTGAAAAATATGGTTGTGGTTATGCTCAAGGAGAAAAATGTCTGAGTAATGAAAATGGTTAATTTTTATCTCAGTTTACTTATTAAGCATAATTAATAAATAATAAAATAATTAATAATTATTATTTAATAAATTTAAATTAATTTATATTTTTTTAAAGGTTTAAGTACCATTTTGGTCTCTCAACTTTTCACTTTGGTACCAAAATTGTCCTTTACTTTTAAAAAGTACTAAAACTATCCTTAAACTTTCATTTTCAGTACCAAAATAGTCCTTCTGTCAGTTAAATGACAGGTGGCACGTTATCTTGCCACAAAATCACTTAAACTTTTTAATTTTAACTACGTGTAATTCCAAGTAAGAAAATTTAATATTTTTTTATTATTATTTCATAATTTTTCAAAACTAAAAACCAAAAAATAATGGTTTTACCTTTTTTTCCCTTTCCCTTCTCTCTCTCCCCCCGTCCCTTGCTTCTGCTTGCCTTCATCGGAATCTCGTTTGTTTTTTGTTCTCGGAAGCCTTGGGCTTCCGAGTTTTGCTGCTTGAGCCGCTGGGTTCTCCGGCTGCTCAAGCTTGATGGAGCCGGCGTGCTCCCTACTCCGACGACCACTTGCGGTCTGTCGGTGAACTAGGCCCCTCTGGTGGCTTTTTTGGGTTTTTGGTTTCTGTTTGTTTTCTTGGGTTTGTTTTCTTTCTGTTGCTTGGTTGCTTGCAGGTCCGGCGGGAGGGAGTTGCTCGCTGGAAATCCCAGATCTGGCGGCCCTCTCCCAGATCAGGTCCCCACCTGCACGGCGTCCCCCCCTCAGCGTCCTGGAGACTTGGTGCGCACCTCTTCCATGAGTAGATTGAAGGGTGTCCCGCTGTTGGATCGGGCTCATGCTTTCTTCCACTCGTTAGTTTTAGCTGCTGCTGTTGCTGCTTCTTCATCAAAACAAACACAGATCTGGGTTTTTCAAACCCAAATCTGGGTTTGTCTCAAGCCCCGATCTGGGTTTGAGACAAACCCAGATCTGGTTGATTCTTGGTCCTGATTTTGCTATTTTTCTTTGTCTTGATGGAACTGGAACTAGAATTTTGGTTCTTTGTAAACTAGTTCTTGCTGGTTTCTGTGCTGATTTCGCCAGCATTTTAGGTTTTGGTTTGCTACATATGGAGTCTCCAGTGGTTTGGTACTGTTTCTTTTTGATTTATTTGCATCCATGTGAGTTGACTTGGTTTGATGAAATTCGAATACGTATTTGAGGTTTTTTTTTAGATTGTGATTTAGTTTCTTTGTTGCCTTTCAATGGTGTCAAAGGAGTCATTTGGGTTTGAGAAAAACCTAGATCTGGGGTTTGATTTGGAGAGGAAGAGGAAGGGACAAGAGAGAGAGAAAGTGAAAGAGGAAGAAGAGATGACATGGAGGTTTTATTGTTAACTGTGATTTAGTTTCTCTTTTGTTGCGTTTTAGTGGTATCTAAGGAGTCATCGAGGTTTAAGAAAAACCCAGAACTGGGTTTGATTTGGAGAGGAAGAAGAAGCGACAAGAGAGAGAAAGTGAAAGAGGAAGAAGAGATGACATGGATGAAAAAAAAAATCATTATTTTTAAATAAAATAAAATAAAATGCCAACTCATTAAAAAAAGGTGCCATGTCATTAGTTAAGAAAAAAAAATTGATTTGCTGGCAAGTTAACGTGCCACTTGTCCATTTAACTGACGGAAGGACGATTTTGGTACTGAAAATGAAAGTTTAAGGATAGTTTTAGTACTTTTTAAAGGTGAGGGACAATTTTGGTATCAAAGTGAAAAGTTGAGGGACCAAAATGGTACTTAAACCTTTTTTAAATGTTGTAAATAATTATTTTATAAAAGAAAGCCATAATAAAAAAAAATATTTGTGAAATTGTGTGAGCTTAATACTTTTTCACGTGGCCATAACCTCAGTAGGAAAGTATATTCTTCAGAGGATATACGTACGAGTGTCTTGTTTGAAAATTTCAATAATATTAAATTATAAAAGAAATTATTAAGTGAAG